TGCCAGGAAATGGCTGAAAGGCAGCAGACTTGAAATGGACTCAACAAGCATGACAAAAGGGTGACAGCTTTTGAACTGAGGACTCTGTAACCCTATGCCCTCTAGTTTTGGACTCCCCTATGCTGGGGAAAAGCCCTTGGCTATTCACCCTATCCATGCCCCTCTTCACTTTGTAAACCTCTATAACGTCACCTTCAGCTTCTGATGCTCTGGGGAAAATAGCCCTGGCCTGTTCAGCCTTTCCTGTTGCTTCAACCCTCGAACCCTGGCAACATCTTTGAAAATCTTTTCTGAACCCTTTCATGTTTCATAACATCTTTCCTATAGCAAGGAGATCAGAATTAAATGTAATATTCCAAAAGTGGCCTAACGAATGTCCTATACAGCTCCAACATGCCCTCCTAACTCCTGTACTCAATGCACCGACCAATACAGGCAAGCGTACCAAACGCCTTCTTCACTGCCCTGTCTACATGCGAATGCACTTTCAAGGAGCTATGAGCCTGCACCTTTAGGTCTCTTTGTTCGCAACGCTCCCAAGGACCTTATCATTAAGTGCCAAGGTCTTAAAGTCTGGAATTCCATCGCTAAAGGTCAGGTATACCACCTCTCCCCTTTCAAGCAGCTTCTCTGTTAAAAAGTCTACCAATAATCTGTGCTATCAAGGTGTAGAGCTGGATTAACACAGCAGGCCAGGCACCATCAGAGGAGCAGGAAAGCTGACGTTTCGGGTCTGGACCCTTCTTCAGAAATTCAATAATCTGTGCTAATGGTTCCTCATGTGACTCAGTGCCAAATCTTTATAGCACTCCTAGGAAGTGACCTGGGACATTTTATTAGGTTGAAGAAAATCGTGAATACAAATTGCTGCTTTTTGAAATTGACACACAGGCACACTATTGCTATATATTTTGTACACATAATGACCAGCACTATGTGTGATCTTGCTAAATGTTGGCCAAGTAGATGAGTCTGTATTAAGAATTGGGTTTGCAGTTTGTTTCATTCACATGAGCGAGAGGCTATATTATTCACACACACGACTTTGCTCTTGGATGCAAGAGAAAGCAAGTGTACACATTACACTGACTAAGGAAAGGCTGTAGAAAGTGTCAATCCCTGCCGCATTCCCCATGGCAACTCCTTGACCAATCAGGGTCAACCTACTAGTTCTGAGCGAGATCAGCTCAATTTGACAGTTCACAGATCCCCATGGTTCAGCCAATTAGTAGCCCCGATGCATGAATTAGTGTTCCCCTTCCAAGTTGGATTTCTTGCATCCAGGCCCTGATGAGTGCAAGACAAAAAGCCTTGACTTTGTATCTCTTTTGTTGCGGCAACGTTTAAAATTTGTACTTTATAGTCAGAATAAACCTCCATGCAAGTTGGGAGTGTGATGCCTGAATGCTGCAGCTTTAAAAATACTCAAGAAACGTAGCACTATCAAGGACAGAGCTGCCTGCTAATTAGCACCCTATCTAACAGCTAAAGAGAGAAGGCATTCGTGTGTGTGTGTGTGGTGTGCAAATTTGTCCATCTGAGTTTGTGTGCGCAAAGTTGTCCATTTGAATCCAAATCGTTCGGGAAAGTGAAACATGAAATGTAGCAAATATCAGGGTATGGCGATTGGCTGTTTGCGATCACGTGTGCGGAAGCTGCGTGTCCCGATGGCTGCGGAGAGGGAACGGGGAGATGCGGGACAATGTTCTCCTCGGTCCGGGTTCTCAGCGCCGGAACAGCTCCTCTGTACCCGGACCCCCAGCAATAGAGAAGGCGGAGGGACAGCGGGTCGCTCCTTCAGGAGGTCTGTTAGCTTCTGGGCTCGGAAGAGAGATTGTAGCAAAAAGGAAGATTGATGGTGAAGATAGATTGCAATTAACAAAATAATTTGAGAATTTATGTTTTAAAAATGGGTAATTCATCCATGCATGGCGCTAAATCTGATGAGGTATTTTTGATTGAAATGTTAATTTATTCTAGTTGGCAGCGTAGACAAAATTTGCCCATTTTGCAACGGCAGTATCAGTTGTTTTGTTCTCCCCACATACTGCTTAACGTAGAGCCATAGAGTTGTACAGTATAGAAACAGACTCTTCAATCCAACTCGTCCATAGCCAACCAGATATCCTAAATAAATCTAGTCCCATTTGCCAGCAGTTGGCACATATCCCTCCAAACCCTGTCTATTCATAAACTCATCCAGATGCCAGTTAAATGTTGTAATTGTTCCAGCCTCCACCACTTCCTCCAGCAGCTCATTTTTCCCTGGCTTGCTTTGTTCTTCTAGCCTCCTGTTTGTCTGTCTTGGATTCCAGCATCTGTAAGTTTTTTTTTGTCTCTAACCATATACGCACTACCCTCTGTGTGAAAAAGTTGCCCATTAGGTCTTTTTTAAATCTTTCCCCTCTCACCTTAAACCTATGCCCTCTAGTTTCGGACTCCCCTACCCTGTAGAAAAGACCTTGGCTATTCATCCTATCCATGCCCCTTGTGATTTTATAAGGCTACCCCTCAGCCTCCAACGCTCCACATACTGTGTGTGTTTCTCTCAATTTTTTTTCTTATTCAGGTTCTGAACATTGAGTCATGCTAACACAGCAAGGTGCAAAATATTATCACGAGATATTCCCTCCCCCCCCAAATCTAATAATTAAGACATTAATATAAGTGCAGGCCCTTATAAAGCAAGTGATGTATTCATAAGTTATTTTATAAAGCTTTGGATGGTGTTAGTAAGAAATATTGTGCTGATGAAAGAGCTATGATGAAAGAAGCTTAATATTTTACATCCGTCCAGTGGAGAACAGTGATCAAACAGGGCGAATAATATGTTGCAGAAAGACACAGGAGTGAATAAAAGTCATGATGAAACTACGCTGTGTTCTAGCCAGATTAGAACTTCTGTTTCATCTCAATTAAGGCAGGCAAGATATTTTAGAATTGGAACAGGTGCAAGGATGTGCCATCAACATGATCCCTAGTATTGGATGGCCGTTAGAAGGAATGGGAAAATTCAAGTTCTCTGTTCCTGAAAGGAGTTATGTGAGAAAAAATCTTGTAAAAGTAGGTTGGTGAGGGCACTTTCATTTGATTTGATTTATTACTGTCACATACCCAAGATGCAGTGAAAAGTGCTTTTTTTGTGCTAACCAGATCAGTCATACTTTACATGAGTACATCAGAGTAATAGAACAGAACACAGAATGAAGGGTCCAGGCCCGAAACGTCAGCCTTTCTGCTCCTATGATGCTGCTTGGCCTGCTGTGTTCATCCAGCCCTGCACCTTGTTGTCTCTGATTCTCCAGCATCTGCAGTTCCTACTATCACAGAATATAGTGTTACAGCTACTGTGAAGGTACAGAGAATCATCAACTCTAATATACCAGTGGTCTGTTCATAAGTCTGATAGCAGCAGGAAGAAGCTGGTATATATTTTCAAGCTTTTGTATCTTTTACCCGATGGAAGAGAGTATAACTGGGGTGGGAAGTGTCTTTGATCATGTTGGTTACTTTTCTGAAGCAGCAGGAAGTATAGACAGAGTCAGTGGATGAAGCCTGGTTTTCGTGATGGATTGGGCTACATTTCCAACTCCCTGTAATTTTTTGCGGTCTTCGGAGAGCAGTTGCCATACTAAGCTGTGATGCATCCGGATATGACGCATCTATAAAAATTGGTAAGAGTCATTATGGAAATGCCAAATTTCATTAGCTTTCTGAGAAAATTGAGGCGTTGGTGTGCTTTCTTGACTGTAGTGTCGATGTGGATGGACCAGGATAAATCATTGTTGATATTTTACTTCTGGGAACTTGAAGCACTCGACCACCTCCATTTCAGCACCATTGATACAGACAGGGGCATGTCCTTCCATCCGCTTCCTGAAGTCGATGACTAGCTCCTTCATTTTGTTGACGTTGAGGGAGAGATTGTTGTCTCTACACCATGCCACTGAGCTCTGTTTCTTTCCTGTACTTTGTCTCACTGTTGCTTGAGATCCGACCCAGTGCACTGGTGTCACCAGCAAATTTGTAAATGGAATTACAGCTGAATTTGGCCACACAGTCTTCAGTGTATAAAGACTATAGTAGGGGGCTGAGTCTGCAGGCATGCTCGGCACTGGTGTTGAAGATTATTGTGGAGGAGGTGTTGTCGCCTATCCTTGCTGATTATGGTTCTGCGGGTCAGGAGGTCAAAGATCCACTTGCAGAAGGGGAAGCAGAGTCCTAGGTCTCAGTCTGAGTTTTGTTGGAATAATAGTGTTGAAGGCGAAGTTAAAGTCAATAAATAGGGGTCGAACATAGGTGTCTTTGTTATCCAGATGTTCCAGGGACAGGTGTAGGGCCAGAGAGATGGCATCTGCTGTTGGCCTATTGTGTCAGTAGGTGAATTGTAGCGGATTAAGGCAGTCTGGGAGGCTGGAGTCGACATGTGTCATTACTAACCTCTCGATGCACTCTATAATGATGGATGTCAGAACCACCGGGTGGTATCATTAAGGCATGTGACTGATTTTTCTTTGATAGTGGTGGTGCAGTGGTTGTGTCCCTACCCCTGAGACAGGAGGCCCAGGTTCCACTTTCTCCAGAGGTGTGCAATATCTCCAAATAGGTTAAATAGAAAATATTCAAAATTACATGGGATAGCAAGAAGCGTGGAAATATTAACCTGGAAGTTCTAGATCAATTAAGTGGATAGGACAAGTTGCCTCGGATTCAAGCAAGATGGTAAATTTAGGACTGGTAACAAGAAGCTGCTTTTCCCACAGAATAACTAACACTTGAAATGGATACCTGCACAGATTGAGAAGGAGGTACAAACTCGAGAATCGTTTTTAAGACTGTACGGGAAGCTGCATTGGACAGACTTTGTGGCCATGGCTAGTAGAAGTGAGATGAGCTAAATGGCTTCCATTTATCCTGAATTATCCTGTTACCTGGAGCCAGTGAATAAAGTTATTAGAAAGTCAATCAAAAAGTTTTGAAATTAAACTGAGGGCTGATATTTCATGACTATATGTAATGGTAAATGGTGTAGAAACTGCAAATCCAGGATATCTACAATCTAAACTATTTCATTAATCTAAGAGTCAACGATCTGGCTAAAGACAAATCAGGCAGTTCTCCTCATGAAGCAAGTGATGATGACATTCAAGTAGGATACTGTGGGCTGCAGTCTTAAATCTTCTGTGGAGGAGTTGGAAACTTTAGGGCATGGAAGTCTTTGGGAATGGATGACCCTTCCTCATGTGCATCTACTTTCGGAAGTGTAGAGGCCTGTTAGAGACAGGCAGTAAATGATGGTCTAGCAAACAATGCCCTAGAACATAGGACAGTACAGGCTCTTCAACCCACGATGTTGTGCTGACCTATTATCCTACTAAGAACAATCTACCCTGCATACCTTACATTTAACTATCCTCCATGTGTCTATCCAAGAGTTGCTTAAAAGTCTCTTAAAGTATCTGACTCATCGAATAAACAAATAAATAGAAAAAGTGTGCTCGATGGACATAGTTCAAATATTCAGCCATGATTTTCCTCTCTCAATTCTTGCCTTTATATTCACAGGACACCACTTGGACCATCCAGAAAACTAAATGCAAGCTTCAAATCACCAGTAAGTCATTTAAACTTGCCCTCTGTAGGATCTGCAGAGACTTTGTAAGGGATGGAGGTGTGCCAATGATTGCCAGCATGCAGGGCTGGCCTTATGGGTGACAGTGGATGGACTTGGTGCAGATTGGGCACAGCAGAGAATGGGCTGTCTTGCCTGGGAAGGAAGAGTGCAGTGAGGAAAAGTATAAAGATTGCTATATCTGTAATCTGTAAGTCAATACCTGTATCTTTTTCGAAAGCATTGCTAAAATCCTGTTAACGTGTAGTGATTTCATATTATGGCTGTGAATTAGTATTATAAATTAAATGGGAAAATTATTAATAATCTGTTTGAAAAGGGATCTTTTAACCAAGTCAGCATCTGCCTAATTTCTGTCTACCATCTATAAAGTAGGAGTCAGCAATGTGATGGCATATTCCCTGACTGCCTGAATGGGTGCAGCTCCAATGATACCCATTGCCTCGACAGGATGTCGGACAAAGCAGCCCGCTTCATAGAATCACTGTATTGTAGATAAGATGCCATTCAGCCCATTGAGTCTGCACCGACCCTCTGGAGAACATCCCACTCAGGCGCAGGGAGAACATGCAAACTCCTCACAGACAGTCGCCCGAGGCTGCAATCGAACCCGGGTCCCTGGCACAGTGAGGCAGCAGCGATCGCCACTGAGCCACCCATTTGATTGGCATGCCAATCCAACACCTTCAACATTTCACTCTCTTCGCAACCAACGCACAGATTGTGCCATCTGCAAGAGGCAGTGCATTAACTCCCCAAATTTCATTTGACAGCAACCACGATTTCAGACCTGCCACCTAGATTGGCATGGGCAGTATGGAACCACCACCACCTGCAAGTGCCCCTCCAAACTACTCCGCATCCTGAACTGAAACACATCGCTGTTCCTTCGCTGTCACTGCGTCAAAAGCCTGTAAACCTCTTTCTGACAGCAATGTGTGAGTGCCCACACCCAAAGCTGCAGCATTTTAAGAAGGCAGCTCACTAATCGCACCTTGTGGGCATTTAGGGACGAGCAATAATTTCTGGCCTAACCAGAATAATTTTTTTTTAAAAAGAGCGAACAGTTTCAGGAAGCACAGCTCTCGAAGTTGTTCAGAAATATGTCAGACCAAACCAAGTCCTTGAACTTTTGCAGTGTTGTTATTTGTAATAAAATTATAGGTTTACCTTAAATAACTTTTACTGTACAGTGTGTCAGGTGCCTCACAATGAATGGTATTTATTTTTCATACAAACATACAAGTCAGGAACATGAGTTGGCCATTCAGCCCCTCGAGCCTGCTCTGCCATTCAATAAGATCATGGTGATTTGTAATCTCAAACTCACATTCCTGCTAATGCATGATAACCTTTCATCCCCTGTTGCTTAACAGGAAAATATCCGTTTCTGGCTTTAAAAATATTTAAAGACTGTGCTTCCACCACCGTTTCAGGGAGAGAGTTCCAAAGGCTCACCACTTTGAAAGTAAACAATGCTGCCTAATCTCTGTTTTAAATGGACAACTCCTTATTTTTAAACAGTTGCCCCAAAGGGAGAAAACATTGTCTCCACATCAGCCCCGTCAAGACCCTGTTTCAATCAAGACCTCTCTTACCCGTGAGCTCCAGGAGATACAAACTGACCCTGTCCAACCTTTACTTGTAAAACAGCCTGTACCTTCCAGGTTTCTCTGAACTGCCTGCAACACACTTCGCATCCTTCCTTAAATAAGGTAACCAATACTGTGCACAGTTCTCCAGATGTCATCTCACTTTGTATCACTGAGGCATAATCTCTCTATTTATATTCAGTTCCCCGTCTTGATAATCAGTAATATTCTATGAGCTTTCTTAACTGTACCTACATACTTAACTTTTGCGATTCATGCACTAGGGCATCCAAATCCCCTTGAATCTGAGCTGTGTAATCTCTCGCCATTGATATAATATGCTTACATACTCAAAACTCTGACTTCTCCTGCAGGTACAGATCTCCCTGGACCATGAGCTTGATTCTGCTGGTCTTCAACTTCATGTTGAGAATCTGAGGAAGAAATGTAACAATCTTGACCGTGAGATTGCAGAGCTGCTCTCGGCGTAAGTGGGTTGTTTGCTTATGTCGCAAATTAAATCCGCAATAAATTCACAGTCTGCCTGCAAATTATGCAAAGGATTGCTAGTAATAATCATACTTACACTTATTTTATTACCATATATTGAAGCATTTTACATCACTGACATATCCCTTTTAAAGTGGAATTTCAATCTTGGGATCAGGACAGTGAATCCTACCTGCTTGGACTGAGACGCAATGTGTGAAAGGTTTTGGAGACAATAAGGACTGCAGATGCTGGAAGCCACAGTCTATAGGTGTGAGGCTGGAAAAGCACAGGTCAGACAGCATCGGAGGAGCAAGTAAGTCAACATTTCGGACCGAAACCCTTCGTCCTGACGCCTAGCCTCACACCTGTAGACTCTGTGAAAAGTTTTATTTGTTTTCCTTCAGGGTGTGATCCTTGCAGGCCAGAACATTTTCAGTTTGGACCGAGAGGCGGTAGGCAGCTCTACTTTAGACCTTAACACTACCAGTCCTGTGGGAATGGATGAATCAGCAAGTGTTCTGCTTCTGAATAAACCTTTGCCAGTTTATAGATATTGGATGAGGGCAGGTTCAGGTGGGAATCAAATACCCTTTATAGTCATACTGTCTGACATTGAAGACTTTGGCTCCCATGCCATCGAATAGACATTTGGGCAAAGTAGCTCGAGGTCAAGAAATGAATGTGGAATTTTACTTAGATGTGAGTTAGCATGAGGGATATTTTGAGGATCAGTTTCAAATTGCCGTTTTGCCTCGTTCACTCACTCAGTGGTCTCTGAGTCAGAAATTCAACCCCTGCTTCAAGATTTGAGCTTGTAGTCTAGGCTAAGAAAGTTAGAAATATGAGGCAGGTGTCCCAAATCTAAGTCTCATCCTGAATATATTTGGTGTGGTGTTGATTATCGCATATCACAGAGATCAGCAGTTGATTTGTTTGGGGTGTAATGTGATTATAATGTCGCAATATGTTCCGCTAGTGTTCTGAGCAAAATTTCTTCCACAAAGCTCGATGAGGACAGAGCAATAGATGTTGTTTACATGGACTTTAGTAAAGCTTTTGACAAGGTTCCACATGGTAGCCTAATTAGTAAAGTTAGATCACATGGGATTCGGGGTAAGCTTGCCAATTGGATATAAAATTGGCTCGATAGGAGACAGAGAATTATGGTGGCGGGTTGCTTTTCGGACTGGAGGCCTGTGACCAGCAGTGTTCAACAGGGATTGGTACTGGGTCCACTTTTGTCATTTATATAAACGATTTGGATGCAAATATAGGAAGCCTGGTTAGTAATTTTACAGATGACACCAAAATTGTTTGTGTAGTGGACAGTGAAGAAGGTTATCTAAGATATTAATTGGGTCAATGGGCTGAAAATGGCAGATGGAGTTTAATTTGGATGAATGTGAGGTATTGCATTTTGGTAAAACAACCAAGGGCAGGACTTATACAATTAATGGTAGGGTCCTGGCTAGTGTTGAAGAACAGAGAAACCTAGGGATTCAGGTATATAATTCTTTGAAATTTGCATCACAGGTATACAGGGTGGTTAAGAATGCGTTTAGCACGCTTGTCTTCATTGCTCAGACCTTTGAGTATAGGAGTTAGGACGTCATGCTGAGGTTGTACAGGATGTTGGTGAGGCCCCTTCTGAAGTATAGTGTACGGTTCTGGTTGCCCTGCTATGGGAAGGATATTATTAAACTGGAGAGGATTCAGAAAAGATTTACTAGAATGTTGCCGGGATTGGAGGGTTTGTGTTATAAAAATAGGCTGGATAGACTGGGGCTTTTTTAACTGGAGTGTAGGAGATTGAAGTTTGACGTTACAGTGGTTTATAAAATCATGAGGGCATAGATAAGGTGAATAGCAAGGAACTTTAGTTCCCTAGGGTGGAGGAGTTCAAAATTAGGGGGTTTATTTTGAAGGTGAGAGGAGAAATATTCAAAAGGGACATGAGGGACAGCTTTTTTTTTTAAACACAGTGGTTCATGTGTGGAATGAACTGCCAGAGGAAGTGGCGGATGCAGGTACAGTTTAAAAGACATTTGGAACGGTACATGAATAGGAAAGGTTTGGAAGGAAAGGGACCAAATGCAGGTGAATGGGACTAGTTTATTTTGGGAACATGGTTAGCTGGACTAGTTGGACAAAGGTCTGTTTCCGTGCTGTATGACTCAATGACGCAAGAAACACCACCTCGAACAGATTGGAAACTTATTCATCCCAATCTCTCTGCGGCTACATTGGCAAAGTAATTCCTTTTAAGTGTCATGTTTTATGATGTTTTAAGATTGTTTAAAATGTGCTTTTCCATTGTGTGAGTTTTATGGAAATCTGTGATTTACTAACCCATTCTAAAAAGGGTCCAAACAAGTTTGCAAGCCATTGCTGTAGAAGTTGCACAGTTAAATTCATGACCACAAGAATATCAGACAAGCCAAGTCCTTATGTCATCCTTTGCAGTGTATTTATTTGTATTTAATATTTACAGTTACTATTTGTCATAGAACCTTTCTTTGCTGTAAATAACTTTTCCTTTAAGGTACCATTAAAATTACTGTGACCATCATGCTTGAACACAAGTGACTGTATTTTAATAATAATTCATTAGATTAACTTCATAGTCAATGTCGTAAACTCAGCATCCATGTTCTATATTAAATGTGCCCATTGATATCCAACCTAGGCTGGAGACCTGGCTACAGCTAATGAATTGGGTTATGATGGTCTCAAATAAGACATTGCCTAAAAAGACAGTCAGACCAGATTCAGTACTAAATTTCAAAAGCAATTTGGATCTACATTTGCAGGATGATGGGGGTAAAAAAGGGGAGTTGTCAGACGAACTGGTTAGCTCTTTCAAAGAGCTAGCACAGGCAGATGGACTGAATGGCTTCTTTCTGTGCATTTTAGATTCTATGGTTCTGTTCCTCCTGATGCCCCAAGGACAGTCCATTCACCCAGGGAGTTAGAAGGGGCTGCTTGTAAACCTGATTGTGAACTGTTCAGTTACAAACTGCTTGGTGTTAACAGTGTTTATTAAATATGTCAGCCACTCGAGCATGTGTTCCAGAAGTGATCAGTTCGATATCAGTGCTTGTAAAGGGGTCGGTATGTAGACCGATTTGGCTGTTCTCTTCCTACAGAGGGTACACTCTGGAAGAGTTGGACCAGCACATTGATCAGCACCATGAGTACAATGATATCAAGGATGTGGGCCAGTTACTGTTGGGAAAACTGGGTAAGAACACTTTAAATACTGCTAACAGAAAAGGAAATGACTTACATTTTAATAGCACTTCTCATATCCTTGGGTCCTTCCAAAGTGGACCAGAGCCAAATTAATATTGTTATTCAAGGTCTCTTTGAATTATTTTCAAGAACTACTTACTCATTTTCAGGAGTTTGTTTTTCACTCTCTCAAATTCATTTACTGGCTGATGTAGTCACAGTGACAATTACTTTCGATATTTGTGTTGAATGTTTTCTTCTTTAGACAGATAAGATTGCAAATAAACGCAAAGATTGCACATATGTGTATTATGAATTCTGTTAACCTCGAACCTATAAGTAAGATGTTCCAATATAATAAAACAAAAAACTGTGGATGCTGGAGATTTGAAACAAAAACAAATTACTGGAGAAACTCAGCCGGTCTGGCAACATCTGTGGAGAAGAAGTAGAGTTATTGTTTGGAGTCCAGTGACTTTTTTTCATTCTGAAGAAAGGTTACTGGACTCAACCTTAACTCTGTTTACTCTTCGCAAGATATTCCAGTTAGTTTATGATTAATTTTCCATACACTTTTTCCAAATGGGGATCATGCGTAAAGTGAGTAAATTTTCCTTTCCACAGTGACTTGGAGGTGTCACGTGAATTCCTTCACTGTCCGTGTGTATCTCGTGTCCTGGTCTCGTCCATCTGAGTGGGCAAAACGGTATCACAGTCTGAGCATCGACACTCCTGCTGCTGCAGCTCCTCCTGAATGGGGGTGTACTGGGAATGGCAGCCCAGATTTTGAGCTCCATGCAATTTGCTAAGTTTAAGAAACCATTGAGCTGGATGATCCAATTCTAATGGGACTCCTGCACAAAATGACTGCAAATTTGACAGAGAATCTCACTTGAAAAGGCCTGATGTGGGAAAGTTGAAGAATGTGATATCACTGCAAATGGGAATTCCATTGCTTTGTTGAGAATTATGAGAAAGAGTTATGCTCCTAATCTAATCATGATTCCGTCAATAAACTTCATTCCATTGTCCCCAACTCTAACCTTCTCCCTGGGCACTCCCTGAGACTGGATTAGACTGTTTGCAACCTTGGCATCAGAACTGACCCTTTGGATGAGTTTTCAACAATGGATCTACTCTATTGCCAAGGTTACCCCTTCTAGCTCCATAACATTGGAGTTGCTAGCATTAATTCATCTGATGCTGAATCCTTAATTTGTGACTTTGCTGCCTCTAGACCTGATTATTCCAATGTAGTTCCATTCTCCCCGCCTCCACAAGCTTAAACTCATCCTGAGCTCTGCTGCCGAAATCCTAAATTGTGCCAAGACCCATTCCTCCATCATTCCCTTTTCTCGCTGACCCTCATTATAAAATTCTGTGTTTACAAATCCTGCGTATTTACCCCCTCCTTACCTTTATAACCTCATAGGGCAGCACGGTGGTCTCAGTGGTTAGACCTGCCGCCTCAGCGCCAGGGACACTGGTTCAATTCCACCTTCAGGTGACTGTCTGTGTGGAGTTGCACATTCTCCCCATGTCTGCGTGGGTTTCCTCCAGGTGCCCTGGTTTCCTCTGTTTCCATAGTCCAAAGATGTGCAGGTTAGGATGGATCGGCCATGGAAAATGCAGGGTTACAGGAATAGGGTAGGGGTTTGATCTGGGATACTCTTCAGAGGGTCAGTGTGGATTCAATGGGCCGAATGGCCTGCTTCCCTTCTACAGGGATTCTATGATTCGATAACGTCTTTAGCCTGATAACCCTCCAAGAGCTGTTTTCCAGTGCAAATGCCAGTTTTAATTGCTTCACTATTTGTGGCTGTGCCTCAACCTCTGTTCCTTTACCTGTCTCATCCCCTTTAAGATACGGTGTAAAACCTACTCATTATTTGTTTAGGTGGTCCAACATCAAACATTTTTGATAATGCTGGGATATTCTATTAAGTTGAAGGTTCTATATAATTGTAGGATTATGTACTTGAACCAGGATTTTATAAACTTTGTAATAAGAATTGGTTTGACTTCCATCGTAAGAACGTACAAGGAGAACATCGAAAGAAAAGTGGCATGTGCGACTTTTGAAATGTAAATATTGTACAAGCAATGAGAGTGAGTTAACACAA